CTGATCCCTCCTATAATCCTGTAACCACTTCTAGACAGTGTGAGTGTTAGAGTGTGGCATGGATATTTCTGATGGTCTGTATCTTCCCTTTCTATCTTGTCCCCACTTGAGATATTTCCTGTATGCTGTCCACATTTTGGGGACTTGGGGCATTTTTGGTCTACCTGTTTTATTTCTTATGTACATAGCTCTTCATTTGCCTCATTCAGGTATGCAAATGTGTTGTGTGGCAGAACTTTTCCTGGGGAGACATAATACACATATCTACCCACCCCAGATAGGGAGCCCCTGACAAGACCACTTGGATACCATCAAAGTTCAGCTTGGTGAAACAGTGGGTCTTATTGGGCTTCCTTACAGGAGTATAGTGAGGGGTCACTTATAGGAGCAGAGATGACTCAAAGACAGCTGCATTACCAAGGCCCTTCCCAGCATGGTGACAGCTCATGAAAGCTGGAAACCTGGAGCACACTACACAGCCTGCGGGCAGCTCAGCTGGTTGGAGAATGCCCTTGTGCTCTTTGCAAATGACTCTGGTCTAATCCTGGTAGCATGATTGGCTTCTGCTTCTAGGCAGCTGGTCTGGTCTCAAGAGTCTTCTTTGCAGCTTGGCTTCTCTCAGTAACTCTTGGCAGCTTTATTGCTTACTCAGAAGGGAGGAACCCAGGAAATATGGTCAGTTTCAGGAACTTCCTGATGCTATTGTTTACCTTCCTGCTTAAGGAGCTTCTATGTAGGATGGAGTATAGCAAACTTGGAGGAAACTGTTATACAACATAATGCTGTATTCTTTGGAACCCAGCTCAGTTCTTACAGTGCTGGGCCCTGCTATAGTCCCCCTTTACTCTCTCTAGCACATTCCCTTCCCAAATTGGTTAACATTTGAGACCACTCAAGTCACTCTCTTAAATTTTAGTTTTGTGGGTTCTGTGATGCTTAGCTTAAAAGATGCTGACTTCACTTAGGTATTCATTTTCAATAGTGAATTATGAAAGAAATACTTCTCTTACCTTTCTTTTTAAAGCTATCATCTCATTAAACTTAGGATATTGTTTTGTTGATTGCTTTTCTTGAGTATTTCAGCTTTCTGTTGTTAACCCCAGTATTTTATGGCCCCTGTACAAGACCTTGTATACAAGGTCTTTATTTACCAAATGCCAGGCTTATAGTACTCCTTTCCCTGACCACTACCAAAGACAAACACTATGAACTTACTCTCTCATGAACTGTATCTTTAATTTGTCCTTGAAAGTTCTGTTTGGACCTTGAGATATTTAAGATAAATCTAGTATTAATAATTCTAAAATAACTTAAAAGAGGCTTTCTTGTTATCAAATATATGCTTCAATATGTGTTGACAAAATTACTTTTTATCAAGCTAGCTGTCACAATTCATTATGGATAGCCCTTGCTTACTCCCATAAGGTGTTGTATTAGTTACTTTATCACTGCTGTCACAGAGGATCTGAGTGACAACTTAAGAAAAGGGGTTGTTTGTGTGGACTTACCTTTCTACTGTACCTGCAAAGTGTATGCTGACTGCATTGTGTAGCAGTTCGTCATTTTGTGTCTGCAGTCAGGAAACAGAAAAATCACTGCTCAGTTTTTCTGGAAATTTCCTCAGTGACACACCCAGAAGTATGTCTCCTAAGTGATTCCAAATGCAGACAAGTTGAGATTGAACTTGTAAGTAGTAAGTAGGAACAGAGCGAGTTAGACTCTGTTCATCTCTGTAGTCATCTCTAGTCAGGCAATTTCAATGTGGAGAGTATGAGCTAATTCAGGAAATTTATGTAGCAACTGATGGACTTTCCCTTCAAGTCATCTTACCACACACGTAGACAGTAAAATACACTTGTTAACATCCTTTACTATAGTACTATAGTACTATAGTACTATAGTACTGTTACTATAACTGACTGCTGTTCTTTTTGTCATAGGATGGCTACTTTACTTAGTAAATTCCGAATAGATTTCTCCGATATCATGGTCCTAGGAGATATCAACACCAAACCAAACAAAGCAAAGTAAGTTGCTGGATAAATTATTCTGTATAAATTTCCAACCTCTCTGGCCTGTGCAAACACAGGTAATTTAACTTGAAATGATTACCAGGGCTTTTTCTCTGACCCAAGATATGTGAAACCACGTGATAAGTGACTTGCCAGTGATGCTGAAGTAAGCTGCAAAGAATTCTTCATTTCAGAAGGGATTTCACTCTTTTCACTCTTTTTTTTTTTTTTTTTTTTTTTTTTTTTTTTTTTTTTTTTTTTTCTTTTTTGGTTTTTTGAGACAGGGTTTTTCTGTGGCTTTGGAGCCTGTTCTGACACTTGCTCTGGAGACCAGGCTGGCCTCGAACTCACAGAGCCCCCCCTGCCTCTGCCTCCCAAGTGCTGAGATTAAAGGCGTGCACCACCAATGCCCGGCCGGGATTTCACTCTTTACATGTGCTTTTTGAAAATTGTTGGTGCCACAGAAATTGCAGATAGGTTTTAAATTCCAGATGTTTCCTGCCCACAGTGACTGAAAGCATTTGACCCTAACTTTACGTACCTGTTACTTCCATTGTTTACTTTTACAGTGAAAATTGAGTTTCCCTGTAGTAGTTGCCATCAAGAGTCTCTCAGTTTCTGCTCTTGGAATAGTATTCCTGAAATGGCACAGAGAGTCAGTTATGGTCTGTGTATTTGATCAGGTGTCTCTGTTCATTTTAGGCATGTGTTAAATGAGTTACAGAGTTGGGATAAAGATTTGCTATTTGAGCAAAGTTGTATTTTACTCATTACTCAGGAATCATTTTGGCTAATGTGATACTCTAATTTGAGGGCAGATACAGTGTGACAAGCTTTAGCTTCAGCTTTATTATCATTGCCTGTGCAGTTCTAAATCTGCAATTGGAGAGATTGGAATTTAGTGTCTTCTAACTAAATTGTAAAAATTATGACAAGTTTGTAAAAAGCTATGATTTCTACTTACGATATTCCCAATACATAATCCAAAATAAGATTGTTCTTTTTGTTCTTTAAAGTATTGCCGCTTTTGATGATATGATTGAGCCATACAGACTTCATGAGGATGATAAAGAACAAGACATTGCAGATAAAATGAAGGAAGATGAGCCTTGGCGAATAACAGATAATGAGCTTGAGCTTTATAAGACAAAGGTACTCTTCACTTCTGTCTCCTTTTCATTAAACTTACATGTGATTTAATAGAATTACTGATGCTGTAAGTAATAGGCACTGTGATTTGGTACAGGGGGAGATGTTTATGTAAATTAACTTCTATTAAGGTCATTTTATATTTGAATGGTGGGAAGCAGCATCAAATATTTTTCTAAACGGTATTTTATTATACACAGTGTTTTTGCTACTTGCTTTACAAACCATGGTAGTTTCTTCATTTTCTTCTTGTTCTTGTTCCTCCTATTCCTCCTCCTTTTTCTTTGGTAGATGAATGCTGAAGATCGGGCATGTGGCTACATGGGCTTACACACTGTGTACTGAGCTACGATCAGCCTTACACAGTTTACAATTCTAATTGTTAGATGTTGAGGAGTGATTGTGTCTTTTCCATTTCAGACATACCGGCAGATCAGGCTAAATGAATTGTTAAAGGAGCACTCAAGCACAGCTAATGTTATTGTCATGTAAGTGTTGTTGGAATAAGGTTTGGGCTAGTTTTGTGAAAATGCGTGCATGTGTCTGTGTGTCTCTGTTGTGTGATGACAGTACCTAGTGGTTTTTAAAAAAGTTCTTTTTTAGAATTTCATTAATATTGTATTTACATCTCTCCTCCCTCTCAACTCCTAAGTCCTTGCTTCCTCTCAAATTTGTGGCTTTCCTTTAATTACTATTGTAACAATAAATTACTAAATAATAATTATTGTAATAAATGGTTATACATATATACTGCTGAGTCCATTTAGCATTGCTCATATGGATATGTTTTTTAAGGCTGACAACTTGTAACTGGGAGCTCATCCCTGGAGAAGACAGATTAATTCCTTTAGCTTTTTATCTAGGGTGACGCCTCATGTAGTTTCTCCTATTCACATTGTCATATCAGCTTGTGTTAGCATTGTTCAGGTCTTATATCATGGGCACAATGTCCCTGTCATATATAGAACACACCAACATATAGCAAACATCCACGTCCTCTGGCTCTTACAATCTTTCTTCCCCCACTTTAGCCACATTCCCCGAGCCTTAAGTATAGATAGGGGTTGAATACTCCAAATTCAGTTGCAGCTTTCTGTCAGCTAAAAAAAAGAAGCACTCTCTTTTTTTTTTTTTTTTTTTTTTTTTTTTTGGGGGAGCTGCAGCATAAGGATAAGTATTTCAAATGTAATTAGAAATTGATTGGTTTAGAAAAACAGTGGTAATAGGTTCTATGGTGTATGAGTGTGACATGCATATACCTGGGAAGGCCAGTCTCCAGATTCCCTGAAGCTGGTTTACAGGTGTGAGCTGCCTTATATCGATGTTGTGAATTGAACCTGGGTCCTCTGCAAGAGCATTATGTGCTCTTAATTGCTTAGTTATCTCTCCAGCCCCTTGTTTTGTGTCTTTTAAATAAGACCCTGAGTCCGCTCGGTGCTACCCATGTGTTTATGAATGTGGGGCAGTCCACTGGAAGGGGGGCAGCCTCTCAGACAACAAACCAACAAGGATGACTGACTGTCCCTCCCAAAGCAGCCTTTAACTACCAGTGCCTTCTCAGATACTGGTATGGCTTTTGAGTCCCTCCCTAGTTCATTTTGACTTGTACAGATAGCCCCATCAGCATGAATTCATGTGCACAGTGACCATGTGATTTCCAGAAAGTGACATCTCACAGCCTTCCTCCCTGTCCTCTGGCTCTTAGTGTCTTTCTGCCCCCTCTTCCTTAGTGCTCTCTGAGTGGAGGGCACATGTGTGATAAGAGATGCCGCCCATTGATGGCCAAGAACTCAGTCACTTAACATTTTGATAAGTTATGAGTCTCGGTATTATCCATTGCCCTCTGCAAAAAGCTTGTCTGAACAAAGATGAGGGCAGGCCTTCTAAATATGGGTGTAAGCATATTTGGGAAACAGGTTGACCATTTAACAAAACAATAGAAGTAGGTTACACAGCAGAGCCAATGACATCCCAGCCATGAGCTTTTGACCTTGTTTACAATACCAGCCATGATTTCCCTCTTGTAGAGCAGGCTCAGATCCAGTCAGAATGCAGTTGGTTCTACTGGAACAGTCATACCACCATTGGTTTGCTGTTTTGTTTTGTTTGCTTTTAATCTATAGCCCAGGCTAATTTTAAACTTGGATCAGTTCTCTGCCTCTGCTTCCCAAATGCTGGGATTTCAGTCCTGTACTACTACAAGGCCTGGTTAATAAGTACTTGGAGTTTATCAAAAAGACATTATCTATGAAAAGGAAAACTCAAACTTTAAATTATGGTTACACACACACACATATATATATATATGGTTGCCTTCAGCATGTGGAGCTAGCATTTATGCATGAACAAGAGATACACTATACCCTTGTATCAGTCTAAATAATTTTTCTTCATAGGTTATTCTGAACTTTTATATTCATATTCTTTAATTTCCTTTTCACCTTTTCAAAAATTTCTATCAGGGCCACAGGTGTGTGTGGCATAGCAGGGGCTAACGGTAGAATTTGGATCCCAGACAACTTTATTATAAAGATAAATGTAAAAACTTTTTTAGAATATTAACTTGGTACAGCAGTTCATATCCAAATCCCCTATGTTTTCCTCAACAGGTGTTTTCCATGCAGACATACTGTCTTTGAATTAGACAGAAGTGTTGGTGCCTACTTGAGCCTTTCCTCTGCTGAGCTATGTTAATTAGAGATAACTGTAAACCTGGATTGTTTTTCAGTTCTGAATCTGGTGTCCCTAAATAGATAAGAAAAGCTCAGGCATCCAGAAACCAAGACAGATGATGACATTCAATGACACTAAAGAACTGTGAAGGTAACACCAAATACAACCTTTTCAATTTGTGCTGATGGTGGGTAGATTTCTCTAATGAAAGATGCCAAACCATAGAAATTTAGAATGAATCCTTATAGGTCAAGAGGTCACTACCACGCTCTATAAATAGAAATTAAAATTCACAAGAGAGGTAAAATTAATACACAGTTAATTACATTTCATTTTCCATCTATAACTTCCTTCCACTGTCTGGGTTCTAATACAAATACATTTTTCTTCTGAAGAATCCTATCCTTAGTGAAGGGTAAGTTTGATTAAATATTAATATTATTAATAATAAATATGGATTATATGTATTGAAATTCACAGGAATGCTTACTCTTATGGACAGATGTTTGAAAATCTGTTGAAACCTGAAAATCTGGGGCTAATGTGATGAGAATATGTATAGTAGTTATTGTGGTATCTACACAGAATTTCCCTCTGTTGAGATTTTATCATGGGAATTGGGCCTAATTAATAGTTGTTGTTTCATTTTCTTCTCCAAAGCACTGCTCAATATGTTCTCATTCTGATCCTAGGAGTCTCCCAGTTGCACGGAAAGGTGCTGTGTCCAGTGCTCTGTATATGGCTTGGTTAGAAGCTCTATCTAAGGACCTGCCACCAATCCTCCTAGTTCGTGGGAATCATCAGAGCGTCCTTACCTTCTATTCCTAATTATTCTGCACCATGGACTGACTGCCCTCCAGGAATGGTACTTCAGTGCCTAGTGAAAGCGACTGAAATCATCAGTAACACTTTAATATCACAATGGCGAACTGGGACTTTGTTTCAGTACTTCATTTATTTGAAAGCACATGGAAAAGTTGCTCCATTGATAGATATATGGAGATTTCAGTTTTAGTCTCCTCCATATCTCAATCTCAGTGACTGATAATTCTTTCTTGTTGGACTGAAGTTCATGAGAGTAAAGTTGTCCTTTGCTACTTGAAAGCAATAAGAGTGTGTTATTTTTTGATTGATGAAAGGAGTACAAAAAGCCTTTAGCCTTGAGGTGCCTTCTGAAATTAACCAAATTTCATCCATATGTCTATGGTCTTTTGTAAATTTATAGAATGTTAAACTTTGCCTTCAGATATTTTTATTTCTGATCTCTGTCACCTTAAGTGGACACTCCTTTTCATCTTCCATTGACCAGTTAGTCTTGAGTACTGCGTGTTTTGTATTACTTTTGTAAAAGTATCTGTTGGATACTAAAGAGGATTAGGACAAATTAATAAAATATGTGGGGAGAGTATCCAAAAAAAATGGAGCTTAAGGTTAGGTTTATATGAGTATATGTACATGTAGAGCTAGGAAATAGAGGCCCAAAACACCATTTTTAACTCTCAAGTGAAATTATGTGTTATTTCTTGTAAATCTTAGAGAAGGGTGAAGATCTACCCAGTAATTCCTATCCGATGCTGAAAGATCACGTGTCCTTTTCCAAGCAAACCCCAGATCATTTGTATTATTTTTAAAAGATCTGTTCTAATTTAGAATTCCTCTCAAATGTGAGAGGCTTTTAAGACATGCTAACAGGTGTTTTTGGAAGAAATTTAGACAAAGAAATGCCATTTAATAGAACATTTCAATAAACACTATGGGAATTTCACTATCCTATGCCATTCTTTATTTTAAAATAATCATTAAAATTTTATCAATGGTTAAATGGACCACTGTTTTCTTAGTGGAAATGGTTTTAGGCTTAATTTATTCAACTATCAAGTACATTTAGTCTTAATACACTCAGGTTTGAACAGATTATTCTGAACATTGAAAGCTAATCCATTCTTAATACTTTAAAACTTTTGTGTTAAAGAAAACTGCCAGTTTGTGCGTTTGACCTTGTCGTCTACTAGTGCACTTGACAGCGTGTATGTGCTGTCCTGAAAGCTTTATATACGGTTTTTAATGTGAAGTTTCTCATTTTTCAAGGAAGGATTTCCTAAACACATTTCAAGGGATTTGTGTCTACATGTCTGTATGTGTGTATGTTAAGCATACACAGGTGCATATGTGTATATGTAATGAAATTTCTGTTGCTGGTGTTTCAAATATTCAAGTGATCACAATTCAGTAGGTTACATTTTTTTGTTTGTTTTAATAAGCATTCAAGTCAGATCAAGAGGTTCTAGGTTTCATGGAGGACAAAGACAATTTGAAGATCCTAGTGTAATCATACAGTTATCCAGTTAGGTCCAGTGCTGTTGGGTAGATGATCAGAAGTTTCAGTGGTGGAGAACAGACAGACTTCCCTCATCTTGAGGGAAATGCTAGAAAGGCATTTTTAGTGGTACAGTATTTCTGCTGCATGAATATGACCTAAATTAATACCAGCTAGATGTCTGGTCATTTCCATTCAGAATATTAAGAAAATGAAGTTAAGTGATTTTTTTTCTAAGTTTTTTTTCCTACATTTTAATACAATATTGTTCCATTTAAGTTCCGCAGAGTTTGGAGGCAATATAAAAGTGTCATTATTCAATAAAGCATATCATGTGTGAATTTTCTGAAAGGATAATAGGGCATAGGCTGAATGCTGCTATCTTGGAATGTACACTTGCCTTTTATTTTTAAAGGTTTGTCCCCATTCATGAAAACGTTATTGTGATCTGTATTACAGAAACTAAATGTCATACATCATACATTTGTGTATAAAGTGGCTCTGAATACACATTAATAGGGAGGGTAATATTGTTTGTGAAATAATGTAAGAAGCTTTCCACTTTTAAAAACTACATTACATTCACTTAACACTAGATACCAGGTCAGACATTTTCAAGGTTACAGCAGTACTCTAAAATGAAAATTTTCAACAATTAATTCTTAGACATGCTAGCTAGTGTTAAAGCTATTTTTATTTTATGCTGAATTCTGATTACTTTGATGCCAAATTATTTTTTAGTCCTAATCATTGATAATAACTTGAAAATAATTATGCAGTGGCAATTTGAACTCATTGTTATGATAGGTAAAAAATTCAGTGGGTTCAAGAGAATATTGGTGTTGGTTATTAACAGTTACTAAATCAAATATTTATTTGTTGCAATGTTTCCTTTGTGCTTTAGGTTTTCCTTTACACCCTTTTCATATTGCTTTCTGACATACGTGTTTTTTTTTTTTTTAAGACTATGGAAATAATTTAAAGAGTTGAGCTTTGGTGGATGATTATCTGCTAAGTTTGAAAATGTAATATTTTGATAATACTGTACTGTACTTGTCACAAATGCTTTTGTAATGTTTTAACCCTGAGGATTGCAGTTGCCGCTTTGTACAGAAGTTACTGCAATAAAAGAAGTGGAGTCATTCAACCTTTACTATCTACTCTTAATTTTACCTAGGTTAGGCCACTTTGCGATCTCATCCCACTTAAGGGTAGAATACTACCTTAGCTTCTGTGTTTTTAAAGCAGCCTTGGGGAAACTGAGTCACCACCTCTGATCTCCCAATAATGACTCTTGCTGCTGACTTCACTGTACAGCACAAAGTAGGATTGTTCTTAAACTGACTTAGATTTTCTGATTCTTAATTTAGGGCCAAACTTCTCAGGGAAAACCAAAAGATTAAAGGGATTCATATCCCCTGAACTTAAGTTGATTCTTTGCTCCTGGGATTTGTTTGTTGTTTTTGTTTTGGAAAGCTGATTTGTAGTTTCACAGAACATTTTACCTTTCTCATTTGGACCCTTGGGTGAGTGTGTTACCTGTGTGTTACAGTTAACTTATATTTACTCTTGAGAAAGCAGCCAAGAGCCGTTAGAAAGTATGCTAAATGTTATGGAAATTTCTGAGGACATTGGGCAAAACTTCACTCACTGCTGCTCTGAAGACAGCTAAGATAGAGCAGGCATGTACACACTCCCCTCCCACCCTGCCCTGCACGCCTGCTCGCTATTCATATTACAGCTGCAAATGAATACTCATTCCAGATTCCCATCATAGATCTGAAATCCATTTGAGATCTTTGTTTTTGTTCTTAAATAAGCTGTTATTTGTGCCGCTTTACTCTTTGGGAGCTCAGTAAGGAATTCAAACATGACTATAGCATTTTAATATTTAAACAGAAACCAGTAGGATTTAGTTACTCATTTCAGCTGAGGGAAATGTTACAGTTGACATGCACTTGTTAATATCTACCAACAATGTAATTCTAGAGCCCAAAGAAACCCACGGTGAAGATAGTGCAGTCCTTGGATGTACTCAGTAGAAAATTCTATCTTGTTCAGGTACTTCAGATAGTAAATACACAAGATGTGCTAACGGGCTAAACAGCGTGTCTTTTGGGGGTGGTATATGAATCAGTTTTTATTTTTGTTTGTTTTTATAAATCTGGTGGCAAAATAAGAATTAAAGAGTCATCATTCTAGAAAAAATATGGACTTGTTACTTCCTGGTGTGTAGGTTTAACCTTTTGCTGCTGTCTTTATAGACCAGGGATCCCTTCCCAGTTCCATCCACACATATTCTCTGCCCTGTGGTTTGCTTATGAATACAATTGTCCAATTTATTCTGCCCACAATTAAAAGCTAATACTTCTTTTGGTCCAGGAAATAGGATAAGTGATCCTTGGATCTTGGATTAAGAGCCTGACTCATTTCTTGGTAAAATTGTATCAAAATATTGCTGAAGCATTTGTTAGAGAATTGTTAAGATTTTGCCCTGGAAGAGGACAGACATAATTTAGTCTAAAGAAGAATATTTCATAGACTAGCTTTAGATTCAACTTTCTCATCTCTAACAGACATACACAAAGATATTGAAAGTTAAGGCAGTATTTCATATTTACAGAGCTACAAGGAAAAAGATAATGAACAGGGTATGCTTGCCTGTTTACATTTTAAATCCAATTAAATAAATTACAAAAGCAGTAATTCTGTTTTGAAAATGAGCAATATTTAGGGCAGTGGTTCTCAACCTGTGGGAAGAAAGACCATTTCACAGGGGTGGCATATCAGATATTTTCATTATGATTCATAACAGTAGCAAAATGGTGAAGTAGCAATGAAAATAATTTTATGATTGTGGGGTCACCACATGAGGAACTGTAGTAAATGGCTGTAGCATTAGGAAGGTTGAGAGCCACTGGTTTAGGGGCTTTGTTGAATAATCAACAAGGCCCAGGTTCTTTTTTCTTTTAGACTAAAATTGTTGTCACACAGTATATTTTGATGTTTTTGCTCTCCCCAACTCCTTCCAGATTCTCCACACATTTCTACTCACCAGTGTTAGATAGTCTTTTTTTTCTTTCAGACCAAAAATAGCCCCATAAAGACAAAGCAACAGACCAATCAGATAAATAGGTGAATAAATAAATAAAATGAAACAAAAAGTCCACAAAAAAAAAAACCCAAGAGTTTGTTTTGGTCACCAACTCCTGGACATGAGGCCTATTCTGGAGTGTGGTTTGTATACCCAGTGATCCTCATTAGAGGAAACTCTTCTCTTTGCTAGCAGGTTTCAATTGCAAATAGCTTCTTTGTTAAGGGTGGGACCCCAGTGCCTGTTTCCCCCTTTCAGTGCTGGGACCCCATCTGACTTGACCCTGTATAGGGCTTGTTTGTGCTACCACAGGCCCTAGACATTCATAAGTGCACCAATCCTGTTGTGTTTGGAAAATGCTGTTTCTTTGGAGTCATCCATCAGCTTTGGCTCTTAAAATCTTTCCCTCTCCTCTTATGCATAGATCCCTGACCCCCGAGGGGTAGGGTTTAATAAAGACCTCTCATTTAGGACTGAGTGCTCCAAAGTCTCCCACTCTCTGCACTCTCAGGTTCTGGCCACTTTAGGAGTGTCAGGTATGGATTTCATCTCAGGGAGTGGGCCTTAAGTCCAATCAAAAGTGATAGATCAATCCCATAATATCTGTGCCACTATCACACCAGTATATCTTGCAGGCAGGTTGCTTACATAGGTCACAGTGCTTATTAGCTTGGTGGTACTGATTATCATTCTCCAGTAGTGGGAAGAGTTCCTTCCAACACCATGAGTGTTGGGCAGTAGATATCTGGGTCTTCTTTTTATTGGGCAGGTGTTTGTTTGGGTTGCTGTTACCCACTCTGGATGGACTGAGGCAAGTGTGGTGGCTGTGAAGTCCCTGGTAAGACAGCATGTTTGTGGGTCAGCAGGTGACACAAAGGAATGGAGATGGGCTTGGAGGAAAGGCTGAGAGGGTCAGTGGGGACCTTAGGTATGTACCCAGAGGCAAAGTCCCCAGGGAATTAAGGTGCAGGAGGATAGTGTAAAGTATAGGTCCTGGGGCTTCCCTCGTAGATGACAAAGAAAGAGAGATGAGCCAGAGGGAAGGACTGAGGCATGCAGCCAGAGCAATCTCATGTGACAGAGTCTCTGGAATCCCCAGCAGGAAATGGCACTGATAACTTTTCAGTCTTCAATTGTTCTGCTGAAACCACAAGGTACACTCTGAGTCCCTACAAGGCTCTACTAAGATATTTAGAAGATGATAAGGGCAATTTGAGAATGGGAAGGACACTGATGGCGGTGGGATGGAATACTGTGCTCCGGGAAGTTCATGGACTCCAAGATTTGCCTTTTTAAAACAAATTTTAAAACTTCACAATTATATTTTCCTTTGGAAAATGGTGAATTATAAAGAATGGAGGCCATTTTATTCCCTGATTTTTTTAAAAAAGAAATATTGGTCATTTCCTATCAGTTACTTGGTCCAAGTCTCAGAATGGTAGCCCATTATGCCAGTATCCTGCTTTCTGGATGCACCCATGAAATTAATCTTTGCTTATGTTTATACACCTGTGATTTTAGGGTTGTTGACATAAACCTCACAGTTGATTTTTTTTCCCCTCAGAAAACTGACAGTGGTAAAGCACAGGTGTGTTATGTATTGAAACACTGATGACAAGAGTGGTTCCCAAGCTGTCACCACTTAGCTTACACAAGAATCTACCAGAGGGCTCAGTAAAGTTCACTTAAGCTACTTGTCTAGCATTGGTAAAGTAGTTTATGCCCAGCCACACACATAATCATAAATCATTCCTGGTGCAACATGGCTAGCTAAAATGAAGGTCTCCACATTCTTCCTTCATACAACTCGCCCTTGTGTAGAGTTGTCTTTGTCAGTTATTCTGTGGGATACATTCATTCTGAGTATCCTTGTTTTAATAGCAGCTATGGATTAAATTATTGAAACTTTTATTAGCTTTTTGTCTGTGGCCAGATCAGAACCTAAAAGTCACTAATAATACAGGAAGTCCAGGAAGGCAGCCAAGTTACTTGATACATTTTGTGAGATTACTTCTGGAGAGAAGCCACGCTGAACCTTGGCCGCTTAGCCATGCCTGCAGCAAGAGGGAGGATGTCTTTGTCATCCCAGAGAAGGGATGAGAGAAGGACATCAGTGAGCTTCGCTTAGCAAGAGTGGTCCTTCTGACTCGGTTTTAGCACTGGTGAGGCATGAGTCATATACATGCCTGAGCTTCAGGGGGTTGGTTCTCTATACAAGTGGGAAGACTAAAGCAATAGATCCTGTGACCTGTTGGGACTGGTTTTGATAATAAAGGTCGTGGTCAGCTGAATATGAAAGAACCTGAGTCACCAAATGTTTTGGAGTCTAATTACCGGCACTTACCTGACTGTATTTATGATGTTCACTTCTGAATGTGGCTCATTATACTAGAGCACACTCTGAATGGTTAAATGATGTTTCTCCCCCTAATAGACCTTACGGTAACTGGTGTTAATGTCTCTCTCTATATGGTGACTGGTGTTAATGTCTCTGTCAGATGTTTGATGTGTTCTGTCTCATTTAGTCTTTATAGCCATGATCTGGTTCTGAGTCTTGGTCACAGTACAAACCATCCTAGGATTCAGATAAAGGCAGTGTAGCTGAACCCTGTGCACTTAGTCACACAGCCACCCCGCTCCCAGGTTACGTGCTATTATGAAGTCACTACAGCAAAACAAAACAAACAAACAAGACGAGGAAAAACTGCCTTTCAAGTAAGCCCATGGTCAGCTGTGCCTGTTCATTCCACCCTCTCATTCTTGTCTTCCACATCTGTGTGAAAATGGGTTCCCTGTGGCTGCTTCTGTGAGCCAAGGGGTCAGAGGACTGCTCTCAAGAAACCCTGGAAGCTCAAGCCCAGGCCAGTCATTTTCTAGAAAGCAATGCTAGCTTTGGGAATTGCCTGGCAAAACCAACATCTAAAGCCATCATTTTCTACTTTTATTATTTAAATCGTGTGTGTGTGTGTGTGTGTGTGTGTGTGTGTGTGTGTGT